ACAGTGAGGAAAAGAGAAGCATCCATCAGCCGGTCCAGAGCAGAGATGAGAGGTCTCATTCAGATGAGAGCAGAGAGCTGAGAATTTATGCAGGGTTGATGGGACAGCCACTTCCAGTCTGGCTGTGAGCCCAGAGTTCACAGGGGGCTGATAAATGGCATGACCCCACCCACAGAGAGTGCTGGGGACTCCCAGGGCAGGCCCGTGTTCTCTGGGCGCAGCAGTCTCACCCCCAGCTGGACCTGGGGTGGAGGCGGCCAGGTGATGATGGGAAGACAAGTCCGGGGCTTTGCCACGGCTGCAGGTCCCCGGAGACTGTCTCCTACACTCTGACTGTGCATTTCTTTCTGCTGTGGTGCCAACAAGCTCCTGGGCTGCCTGCTGCCAGGGATGCAGCCCTGGCTTCCAGCCCTAGCGCAGCCACTGGGTGGCCATGGGCCAGGGTCTTTCCCTCCCCACCTGCAAAATGGCATCATAATGGTACCAGTCACAGGATGGAGTAAGCCGTGCCTGCAAAGTCCTCCCAAGGGCGTGGCCATGGCCTGTGCAATAAATGGGCCCCTCCTGCCGCTGTTCCTGAAGCTGCCCAGGGTGTTGGCCTAGGCCGGGGGATTGAACCCACCACAGCTCAAGCCCCCTCTGGCTAGTCCTCCCTCCACACCTGGCTGGACCAGGTCAGGCCCAGTCAGTAAGAGGAGACAGAAATGAGCCCAAGATTGCGGACCAGGCACACGGTGGAATGAAGAAAGCCACGCCTCTAAGGAAGAGGACCCGATTTGGCCACTGACGTGCTCCGTAGGCAAGTGCCACCCTTCTTTGTGCCTCAGTGTCCTCTGGAAAACGGGGAGAATTTGTCCTCCTTGTTCATCTTACCATCTTCACCCAGCCACCACCTACTGAGGTTTTTCTGTGGTTGGCGATTGTGGATGTAGATAAGACAGGCCCACCCCACCCTGAAGGGCTCAGGGCCTGGTGTAGGAACATGGACCCTAGAGAAGGGGTGTCTAACTCAGCACTGGGGTGGAGTAGGAGTCAGGGCTGGCTCCCTGGAGGAGGAATCAGCTGGGCTGTAAGTGGGAGAATCAGCCAGAGTATGAAGGGGAAGGAAACAAGGGCGGACTTTGTAAATCACCCTACCTCTCCAAGCCTCAGTTTCCTCCTCTATAAAATGGAGGTAATAAATACCTGCTCTGCCTAATTTATAGGGTTGCTGTAGGGCTCAGGTTGATAAAGCGCTTTATGAGCTGTAAAATGCTAGGCACCTGTTCGTTGTTTTCTGTGACTTCGGGAGCCCTGGGGGTTAGGGAAATACCAGGGCAGCATCTGGGCCTGGGAGAACTTCCGGTCTGTTTTGAAGGCCTACAATCAAATCCGACAGAGACAGCCAGCCGCCAGTAACCCCACCCCCTGCGTCTAAGAGCCGTCTTTCTGTGCCAGGGTGCAGCTATGTTTGAAGAGGGCCCTAAAGGGGCCATGACCCACTCTCGGATGAACCCTGCTCTGAGGATGGGAGGAGCAACCATGCAGAAACCTGTCAGCCCAGCGCCTGAGGCTCTGGCAGGGGCCTGGGTGCTCTGGCAGGCCTTAGGGGCCTGGCGAGGGAGCCCAAGGACCTGCCAGGGGACACGATAGAGGATGTGGAGCATTGTGGGATCCCAGTCTGCGCAGAGATATCTGTGACAGTAGCTGCAAAGCAACGCAGAGCAGCGCGTGGAATGAGCCTGTTTTGGTTTGGCTATGAGAAAAGCATGAATGTACTAAACCCATCAACTATAGAGTAACTCAGACAAACAGGCATCAAGCTGGTCAGCACCAGGCGGTAGAATTTTCTTCTTTCTCTTCTTTAAGGAGCATGCATTCATGAGAAACCACCTGCCATGGGTGACAGTCATACCGTAATCTCTTTTTCTCCCTGCTTTCAGGTTCTTGGGCACACAAGCACATGTACCCACTGTGTTCCTCAAAGTCACTGAGTCAGGGACTCACACTACACAGTCTGCCATGTGGGATCCAGCCACTGGTGGCATAGTGGTTAAGAAAATGTTATTGTTGGGGTGCTGGACTCCCACATTGCTGATCGTGGTTTAAATCCTGGACCCAGCAGCTTGAAACTCAGACCAGGCACGTGTGTGTGCATGCCTACACTTTTGAGAGGAGAATGGAGCAGGAATTGTAGCGTGGCTGTTCTCCTAGGGGGTGATTTCTCATTTTCCCTCTTTCTGTCTCTGTCTCTCTCTGGCAAGCGTACATGCCTTAAGGTAAAAAAAATCTCTCTCTAAAAAAAAAAAAAGAAAATGGTGACCAGCAGATGGTATAATGGTTACATTGCTGAACTCCCATGTAGTCGACCATGGTTTGAGTCCCAGATCCAGAGGCTTGAAAAGCTGGGGGGGGGAGTGTGCGTGCCCAAGATCCAGAGAGAATAGAAGAGAAGGGATTGTGGCATGGCCATCCCCCTTGAAGGGTGATTTCTTGCTTTCTGTCTCTCTCTCTCTGTCTCTCCAGCAAGTCAGTGCACCCTAGCAAAAAATCTTTCTTAGAAAAAAAAAGAATGAAAATGTTATTTTCTTTTATAGTCATGTACTGAATAACATTTGGGTCAAAGACAAAGAACAGAGGACGGTGGCCCTGTAGGATTATAATAGGTGAAACCGCGTAGCCTGGGCATGCGCTAGGCTGCACTGTCGCGGTTAGTGTTAGCACCCCATGAAGCTTGCACAGTAGAGATATTACCCAAGAACAAGCACCTCCGTGGCTTAGTAATTCACATCTGTGTTTTGAAATCCGTATGCATGATAGGTGATTTATTTCCGTGACAATTTTGACAGTTCACATACATGTGGTATATGTTCTAAGATAACTGTAAAAGGAGGTAGTGTAACAGGCACTCTAACGTCAGCAGGCTGGAGCGGGAAGAAGGCGCCCGCAGCATGAGGACTTAGGTGAGGCCTGGGTGACATCCCCATGCTGGCCTTCCCGAGAGCTGGGAGCAGAGTCCAGGGTGGTTTGATGAAGCAGTCGCACCGGAGGAGAGGTCTCTGGGGGCGGGTCCCAAGGCCTGCAGTGTCCCTAGAAGCACTGGGCCACAGTTTGGGCCCCCTCTGAGTGGCACTTGGACAGCTGGGACGGGTCCAGAGGGCACCTGGTTGGGCAAGGGCCTGCACGTCAGATCCACCTCAGATCCCAGGACACGCAGGGATCTGGAACACAGGCCAGACCTCAGTAGACCCCTCTCCCTCTGTGGTGTGCGTTCTTGGTCTTCGGTCACTGGGCTTCTCACAGACCTTTCAGCCTCTTTGCAAGGAAGCAAAGAAACTAAGCTACTGCCGTGTGTCACCGAAGGTGGGGCGCCATCTATTGTGAGATGCGCCACTATTTTATAATCCACTAAGAAGGCAAGCGTGGCAGACAGCTAAACTATGCTTACAAGTTGTGCTTCCGTTTCAGAGGTGTTCAAATGTAAAAATCTTGGGGCCAGCAGTGGCGTTATGGTTAGGGCACTAGACTCCCACATGGCCAACCATGGTTCGAGTCCCGAACCTGGTGGCTTGCTTTCTCATTTTCCTCTCTCTATTTCTCTCTGGTGAGCACATTGCCCTATAGCAAACTTTAAAATAATAGCAATACTAATAAATAAAATAAGTAAATAGTTTTAGAAGTGTGAAAATCTGTGTGTCTTGGAGCCATCTGACATGTGGCAGGCCCCACTCTACACCCTTGGTGTACATTCATGTATTCAATCCTCATGGCAGCCTTACAGCGAAAGGCTCTGCCCTCTTCTTACAGATGAGGACATGGGGACCCAGAGAGGTTAAGTAACTTTTGCAAGGTCACACAGCCAGCAACAGGTAAAGCTGGGAACTGAGCCTGCTCTAGCTAGAATCCACCTCTTTTTCCTCATCCAACCCTACGAAGAAAGGCCTCCTGAGTCCTGGCCCTGGGGAGGAAGAGAATGTTCACAGAGCGAATGTACGCTGGTTCAGAAATGCTCCTGTGGACTGACTATTACACAGCTGGTTCTATAAGCCATGGAGAAGCGCCAGGGAGACCAGACGGGAAAACCTACGAGAGCTGGTCAGCTGGGTCACTAGCCTCGTCCTTGTTATATCCGTGACCAGAGTGGCTTGGCATGAGGCCCGCCCTGGAGAAAGGCCACAGAGATGTGTCCCACACAGATAATCCTGGACCCTTGCCCAGTCGAGCCCCTTCTTTGTTCCCTAGAAAGTTGGTGTTTAATGTAATTTTTCAAACAGGACCTTTGTTCACATATTGATCACGTTCTGTGTGTGAAGTACATGCCTCAGTGGTAGAGTGCAGGGCAGGGCAAACCAGCCTCAGGCCTGCCCTCATGGGCTCACAGACCAGAGGGGAGATGGACAGTCACTGCAAAGCCCCCTGAAACCTGGAGCAGGTGCCTGAGGGGGGAGCGTGAAGAACGTGCAAAATAGAGCCTGTGCCTTATCCAAGGTCGCTGCAGAAGGCTGTGCTAAGGAACGGTCTCGAGCTGAGACCCGGCAGATGCACACGGGCAATCTGGTGAGTTGGGGAGGGAGCACACCACCGGACAGAAGCAGCCTGTGCTAAGGCCCTGAGGGCCTGCAAGTGGGCCTTTGAAAACCCCTGTGTCTGCAGCTCGGATTCCTGGGCAAGGTGAGGCTGGGGGGAAGAACAGAGGCCAGGGAGTGGCACGCTCACATTGACTTATTTTGCAGAGACAGAGACAAGAAGATTGGCTGAAACTATGATTGGGGAGAGTGGCTGGTCACAGCAGCGGGAGTGGAGATATGTGGATGGTTTAAGAGATGTTTGGAGGCCAGCAGCTGCCGTGGAGGTTAAGGCGCTGGACTCTCACATGGCCAACTGTGTTCTGAGTCCTGGACCCTGTGGCTTGAAAATCGTGTCAGGCATATGTGCATAGGTGCCCAAAATCCTGAGAGGAGAGTGGAGGAGAAGGGACAGTGGCATGGCCATCTCCCCTGGGGGGTGATTTCTTACTTTCTCTTTCACTCGCTCCGTCTCTCTGGTAAGTGCACATGCCCTATGGCAAGAACATAAAAGAGAGAGAGAGATGTTGGGGAGGTAGGGTGGAAGATGGATTGGCTTTGGGTGCAGGAGGAGGTGACGTGGTGACCCTGGGTCTGGCTTGCCTGGCAGTGCCCTTCCCCAGGGTCTGATCGCAGATGGAGTTGTGCTGGGAGAACAAGCTTATGAGAGAAGGCTTTGCCCCAGTGAGCCCTTGCCCGGGTCTAGGTTTTGTCCACTCTTTGCCCCAACAGTGTTTAGACACCCTAGTTCCTCCAGTGTTGGGGTTTACCAGATAATGTAATAAAAGCCACTGGGGTGGGGGCCGGCAGGTGGTGTAGTGGTTAAGGTGCTGGACTCCCACATAGTCAACCACAGTTCAAGTCCCGGAACTGGTGGCTTAAAATTCATGCCGAGTTCATGTATATGCATGCCCAAAATCCTGAGATGAGAATGGAGGAGAAGGGATTGCAGCATGACCGTCCCCCACAAGGGGCGATTTTTCACTTTCTGTCTCCAGTGAGCCCATGCACCCTATCATAAAAATCACTAAAAATAATAATAATTTAAAAAGAAACCACTGGGGTGAAGGAGTTTAGGGTGTTATGAGAACAAACAGGTTCTGGAAACAAGAAATGGGCTTGACAGTGTGTGGCTGTCACGTGGCCCCGACACCATCCCCGGAGCTGGCCTTTCCGCAAACCTGTAGCCGACGTGGCAGAGTCGGGGAGGACTCCAGGGCTGTGTCATCCCGAGAGAAGTCTCTGGCTATGGGTT